CAAGAATATGAAAAAAATCACTACCTTTCAATATCAGGTTAAAAACTTTCTTAAAAAAGATAAGGGATTTTCCAAAGAGTAATCTGTTCTGTCATTTGTGTCCAGAAATTTTCAAGTGGAAAAGCATTTCTACCTTTAACTATATAAAAGGGATTTTTTAACACTAAAAATGAATGATTTGGGCTTTTGTCTAAAATACAAGGTGAAATAACTTTACAGCTAAAAGAGACTTCAAAGAATAGGTTTTCATTTTGAAGATAACAACTGTTATATATCTTGTTTGCCCTAATACACTCCAAAATATATTATATTTTAGCTACAAAAATCCCCTCCATATTTTATGTCACTCAAAGTAGGTGACAAATGTTCTTTGTGAAACCATTTGCTGCAAATCAATTGGCAATATTTTTCAATCATTAAGAAATACTATTTGATATTAAATCAGTTTAATACAAATGGAATAATAGTATCAGGTCTTCATCTTAAGCTTACTGGAGTAGCTAATTTGGGTAACTTAACCAAAAATTTCCAAGTAAATGAGGATCAATGATAAAGTAAATGAAATCAAAAAAGCAAGAAAGCAAGAAAGCAGTTGCTTTACAAGAATTTACTCTATCTAGAGATGTACTATTCTATTACAAAACTATCATGCATGAAACATACTACGGAAAATGAGGCTGCAAAATGTATTTGCACTGAGATTATCTTAGTAGAAAAGGGAATTTAGAACTTTTAATGATGAGAAACATAAGCCATTTCAGGTGATTTGGAGTAGCCTTCAGCACACCCACATTCCAACGAACCAAATGCCATGTCTGATGAACACTGCTCCAGACTTAAGGTACCCTCACAACCAGAATGCCACTTTGGTAGGTTAATGTCGAAAATTCCATTTTAACAAATGGCCACTTTAATTATGCAAAAATGAATACCCACAATGTACTTTTTCCTCTTTTTACATCTTTGAGTTAAATATTTCCATTGTGATGGTGGGCAGAGCACATTGCCTTTAAAACCAAATAGTTCTGGCTCAACTCTTTATTCTGCCACCTATGTTTAATAGATTCACACACCTTTTGGCTTTTGATTCACTGTACAAAAAATAGAGGTACCGTTGACCTCATAATACAAGGATTAAGGGATACCAGGAAAGAAATCCTGGTAGCAGCATTCCCTCAGGAGTGAACTGTCTTCTAATTAGAGAATAAACCACAGTGAATGGTAAGGGACAGGTAGAAAAAAGACACAGAATAGAAAACTTCCCTGTGTCATAAAGGAAAAAGAATCTAAGATATCACAAACAGCTCAGAGGGAAGGTTGGGGGGATGCTGAGACAGAAGAATGTTGGGGATAGGAGAGGATGGCATGTCAAGACGAAATGAGGTGGTGACCCAAAGAACGGACAGTAAGAAATGCCTGTGGTCAGCCTGGCTCCTAATAAAACCAGGAGGATACACGCTCTATTTTAAGGTCCTCCCCCCACTCTTGTACTTGAATACAAATCTTCCACAACTAGTAACCCCTCCCCTCAACAAAAAGGAAAAAGTCTGTTATAGAAAACTAGCTTGTGTAAAGACACAGCTGTCTTGGGTAAAGTCAAGTCTTATTAATAAGTCTACTAAATACAACTGCCTTGTGGGAGGTGGTGTTTTGAGGCAACCAAGGCATATGGGCTGTGTTCCAGATTTAAACTCACACAAGGTGATGAAAAGGGAACAGTTCTAAGAGACAAGACATGATCAAGCTGGAGAATCAGCAGAAACGGAGAAATGATCCAAGGGGTATCTGGAAAGAAATTAAACCTCAGAGATATCGGGCAAGGGAGAGAAGAGTCAGGGGTCACTTTATTTAAATATATAATAGGACCCCGTGACCCCAGTAGGCTGGCGGGTGAGGGAGAAGGCCAGGGGGCTAACATCTGGTTACATGCCACCACCAATGGTTGGTAGTCGGTACATATCGGCTCTTTTTCCTTAAGGAATGGATACCATATCAGATACAACTGTTTTCACGCTTCTTACAACTATGGGGGGTGGGGGCAAACTTTTAAAAGTGATCTAAAACTTGCATGAAGTTGTACTTTACCTCAAATAGTCAACCAAACTTGCAGAAACTGCTTGGTTGATAGTTGGGAGGAAGGGTGGGGGGAGGAGGGGGAAGCAGGTATTTGTCTAAAACTACTTCACAGCATAACTAGGAGATCACAGATTTTCCATCATGCCAGGTAGAGGAATGCTGCGATTTTCAGGTAGGCAATTGAGCAGTTTGGGCGCGGGAGTCAGATAGTTAGAAGCCTTACAATCATCTCTTTGCTGCAGTATGAATGCTCAGGTCAGTTCCCTTATGAAACGTTTTAGCAACAGTATGGCCTTTACAAATAAATGACGAATTACCATGCTACTTTATGTTAACGAAAATGAATAGACATTTATGTTAGGGTATTGGAGAAACTTTAGCCTTTTCCATTTTTCAAAGTATTATACAGAGAGAGAGAGAGAGAGAGAGAGAGAGAGAGAAGGCTAAACGCGTTTCCTTGGTAAACAGGTGCTGCAGGATGGAGGTGCAGCCACTCCCTTCCCCTGGGAAGGCTCTGAGCAACCCCCCCCCCCCCCCCCCCCCCCCGCCCGCCATAAGGAACGGAGTCCGGGAAGGGGGAGTTGGCATGGTTCAACGCAGAGGTTATTAGTACACAAGTGCTGGCATTCGGTCCATTTAGAATTCCAAAATAGAAACTAATGCTACCTCCACTTAAAATAAACCAAGGGACTATTTGTCAAACTGCAAATTTCCTCATTACTACCGAGAAACAGAAGGAGAAAAGGGGCGGCAGGAAACTCACGAGGGAGTCTCCCACAGGCTCACGCGTCTCCCAGGTGCTGTCCGTCTTGCACAGGGTCCGCTTCTATGGTGACTGTGACTTCAACCCTGGAGCATCACAACCAGGGAGGGAATACTCGATACCCAGTTTGACCAACCCCTGCTGCACCTCAGGAACCCCGGGCTTGCTCAGGTAGATTATGCAGAATGTAAGCCCAGCTCCTCTCCTGAACCCCAAAGGGAGCTAGCCTTCCTGCCCTCGGCCAGCAACCGCATCTGCTCGCTTCTACCTTTGCTCATGATCCTCGCTCCGACTCCTCCAGTCCCAGGTGACGGGCGCTGGAACGCACGGGTGCAGCGGCCGCTATTTGTAAACACGCTCCACGTGCGCTCGCCCAGCCCCATTCGCAAGCCGCTCGTGGCACCTGAGGATGAGTAGCTTTCTCCAGAGCCCTCAGAGGGTGCGATTTTTATTCCACCTGAGAGAGGAGGAAGCCTCGCCCCCAGAGGAGAGCCACTGAAAGAAGGGCCAAGACAGGGTGGACTTGGACCGCCCCCTGCTGGCCGACTAAATAGTCTGCAGGCTAGAGCAGGCAGGGCTTTAGCCGAACCCACGCCGCGCCTAAAGAAGCTGCAGCGGCCGGCCCCGCCCCCGCCCTCTCGCCGAAGACCCCGCCCCCGGGCCGCGCGCACTCGCCCGCGCAGGCCCCACCCCCTTGCCGACACAGCGTTCTTGCGGGGGCGCGCGCGTGCACCCTAATCCCCCGCCTTCCGGCTCCGGCGGCGACGCTCGCCGCTTGCCGCTGCCGCCGCGCCACCAGTGTCAGCCTCCCTCTAGAGACTCCATTTGCTTTCAGGGCGGTCTGGCCCCTGCGCGGGCTGGCGGAGAGTGATGCCCCCGGCCCGCTGACTGGCGTCCCCTGGGCCAAGCGCTCGCTCGCTGCGGCGGTGACACCGTGGTCTCCGGCGTCCACGGAGGAATCCGGGCTCCCTCCGCGTGAGCAAAGACGTCCCGCGCTCCGGAGCTCGCCCTGCGGGGAGAGGCCCTCGCTAACGCGGCTTGTCTCTGACCTCTTAATTTCAGGAGGTAGGCAATTCAGGTCCCGCTGTCACTCCAGATAATGCCTAAAAGCATTATTTGTCGGATTTTGCCATCACACTGATAGGAGGCGTTAATTTTCTCAATATAGTTGCAGGATAGATACGAGTAATGCCACAGACCCTGATATTGAAAAAAAAAAATGTTTTTGGTATTTTCCTTTAGGTTTCGGAGGCACCGAGTGCTATACAGCTCCCCACAGGAACTACTTCTGTTGGCCCATCGAGGATCATCTTTCACCAGGATTATTTTAACATCTTCACTGAGCCTTCCACTCCATACCTTCTACCATGAGTTCTGATTTCTACCAATGAAGTTTTTGATGCTTGCTTTAATCATGTGACACCACCTCTTGTCCGCCTTTTGCCTTTCCAGTTGCCAAATACATTAGGTATAAGTTTGTGTCATGTTAAAGTACAAAGTTTTCTGCCTGTCCATTTTCACCTTATTTGCACTGCTCACTTCTGTCCAGCTTGCCTTATCTCGCCTGCCTATGATTTCCATAACCACTCACTTGAATAATTAATCTCTAGCAGTCCTTGCCTAGAAGAGGCTGTATTCCATACAGTACATTGCCTGACAAAGACAGCGTCAGCGGATGAGTTTTTCCATTATATTTTCCCATATGTCATGTCTACAAGTCCTCTCTTAAACTATTTATCCCTGGCACATTTCTCAAAGTACTCCCACCTGAGTCTTAGTTCCTTTAGCAAAGAGTCTCTACCTGTAATGAAAAGAAGAATTAAATACACAATAGGACTGTTTTAGAGACCTTACTGGTACAGATTGGTTGCAGTCTCCTTTGAGATTGCAGTTCATGAAAAGACCTTAAACTAAGTAAGGAGGAAGAAAGAAGATAGGTTTAGTTAAAACTAGTCCCTGTTGAAAGAACTTTGTAGGCTTTAAACAACAAAGTGAAGAGAGTCACATAGGCCTGGCCTGGAAATTGGCCAGCATACCATCCATCTAGGTCCTGCGGAGAAGGGAAGGGATCTTAAAACCCCATTTTCTAGTCTCATTGTATTCAAATCTAAGTTGTTAAATATCTTGTTCTAGTAATTGCTTAAAATAGTGGACATTTAAAATGTTGGGGAAACGTAAGCGTGTGGTGTTGACAATTAAGGACAAGCTTGACATTATTAAGAAACTTGAGGAAGGCATATCTTTCAAAAAGCTTTCTGTAGTGTATGGAATTGGTGAATCCACGGTTCGTGATATTAAAAAGAACAAAGAAAGGATAATAAACTATGCAAACAGTTCAGATCCTACAAGTGGGGTGTCCAAACGTAAATCAATGAAGTCATCGACATACGAGGAACTTGATAGGGTTATGATAGAGTGGTTTAACCAACAGAAAACAGATGGGATTCCAGTGTCCGGAACAATTTGTGCAAAACAAGCCAAATTCTTTTTTGATGCTCTGGGAATGGAAGGTGATTTTAATGCATCATCTGGCTGGCTAACTCGATTTAAGCAGCGCCATGGTATTCCAAAGGCTGCTGGTAAAGGAACAAAATTAAAAGGAGATGAAACTGCTGCCAGTGAATTTTGCGGTAACTTTCAGGAATTTGTCGAGAGAGAGAATCTACAACCGGAGCAAATTTATGGTGCTGATCAAACTGGATTGTTCTGGAAATGTCTACCATCAAGGACATTAGCTCTTGAAACTGAACAAACTACTTCTGGTTATAGGTCAAGCAGAGAGAGAATCATTATTATGTGTTGTGCAAATGCCACTGGTTTACACAAACTTAATCTTTGTGTTGTGGGAAAAGCAAAAAAACCCCGTGCGTTCAAAGGAGCTGACCTTTCAAACCTTCCTGTCACTTACTTCAGTCAAAAAAGTGCATGGATAGAACATTCTGTTTTCAGACAGTGGTTTGAAAAGTACTTTGTGCCACAGGTACAGAAGCATTTGAAATCCCAGGGGCTTCTAGAAAAAGCAGTGCTTCTTTTGGATTTTCCCCCAGCACATCCAAATGAAGAATTACTGAGTTCAGATGATGGCAGAATAATTGTGAAATATTTGCCACCAAATGTCACAAGTCTAATTCAACCTATGAGTCAGGGGGTTCTAGCCACAGTAAAAAGATACTACCGAGCAGGACTTCTTCAGAAATACATGGGTGAAGGAATTGACCCAAAAATGTTTTGGAAAAATTTGACAGTGTTGGATGCAATTTATGAAGTATCAAGAGCTTGGAACATGGTAAAATCCAGTACCATAACCAAAGCATGGAAAAAACTGTTCCCTAGCAATGAAGAGAATTCAGGCATGAACATTGATGAAGGAGCCATTTTAGCAGCTAACTTAGCAACAGTTTTACAGAATACAGAAGACTGTGAACACGTTGACATTGAGAATATTGATCAGTGGTTTGACTCTCGGAGCAATGACTCAAGCTGTCAGGTGCTAACAGACAGTGAAAGTGCTGAGGACCAGGCCAAGCCTGCTGAACAAAAACATTCCAATAAGACTAGAAAAGCAGAACTGAATCCAGAGAAGCATATTAGCCATAAAGCTGCACTTGAATGGACCGAAAATTTACTGGATTATCTAGAACAACAAGAGGACATGCTTCTGTCTGATAAACTGGTATTACGGAGGCTTCGAACAATAATAAGAAGAAAACAGAAGATCCAAAATAACAAAAGTCATTAATAATACTCTTAAGTGTATTTGTATCTTTGTGACTTTATCTGCAGTGGAACTTCATTATCTTCTTTGAAGTGCTGTGGATTTTAAAGCTAAATACATTTTATAAATGATTTTAGGATTAGATGCCATTTTGGATTACTTAAATTACTGCTCTTTAATGTTGATTCTAGTACGTGACCATTTCCATCCATGTAACTTGTTTGTTTACTCTTTCTAATCTGTATTATACTAGTTAGATGATAAGGTACCTGAGGCCAGATATTTTGTGTCTGTTTTGTGCCTGAATTTCAATGTGTCTAATAGAGGACCGTGCACACTATAGGCAATCAATAAATCTTACTTCAATTAAATTTTTATGACTTGCTCTGAACTCCAGTTTCCAAATGAAATATGTTGGGGGTAAGTTTCCATTTCCATGATGTTTCCACCTGCTGAAATTTTTGGAACTTAGCAAAAATTTGTCTGTGCAACGAGAGCACTGAAGGAAAATAGTCTCAAACCTGAAATATGGGATTCTATATCAACAGTATTTGGGTAGTCAGCAATTCAGATTGGCCATCTCTGAGTATAATGAAGGAAGAAGAAACATAAAATGTCTCCAGGGAGAGGGCTTGCACTTCACTTTTATTCCAACTGACAGCAGGGAGAGTTCCTTCAGAGTTGTAAAAAGAATGCCATCCCCATTTCAGAAAAAATAGTTTTCAGTTCCCAAACCATCGTAATCAGAAGAGGTAAGAGTTATACTTTGTTGTCTTTCATTTCAATTCTTCATTAGAATAGATATATCAATAGTTCTTGTTTTTAATAAGCTGTTTGATATTTATATAACACTTAAAGCTTACAACTTACGTTGTTTACTTTCTTATAGCATATTTTTTTCTGAGGATAATTGAGAACATAAGCATGCATAAAATTTGTGGAACCATCCACCACATGAGCAGTGGACTAACATTAAGTAGAACATGAGAAAGATTATTATAGAAGAGTATGGGCTGCTGTGTGACCATGGGCAAGTTATTTAACCCATATGTGAATTAGGAGTAATACCTGCCTTAGAGAGTTTTTGTGAGCAGCATATGATTTAACGTATGGATTTTAAGTATTATGGGCTTAGAAGAGGACCTGACTCAGCTTAAGTCCTCTTTGAATGTTAGCTACTGTTACTGAGTTCCTGAAACTATGAGTTTCAAAAGTTGTGCTGAACAGACCCGGTGTGTGACTCAACTGTGAGGTTGCTGTGTTAGGAAAACCCTTTAAAGGGAAGTGAGATAAAAGACAAGTAACTAGCTTCAGTTGAAATAGAATAATAATTTATTTCAGTGAAAACTGAAAGGTTAATCCAATTTAGAAGTCATTTCCTGACCATCTATTGCTAGGCACAGTGAGGTCTGTGGGCACATTTAAGACATCTTAGATTGAATTATAAAATAAATGGGAATGGAATTGTAATTTCTTTGCTCCCTGGCCTGCTAATAAAATAAATAGATGTTACCATTATTCATAGAAGAGAATCTATATTACTAGTATTGGCATAATTTACTGAAATAATAAAATACCTTAAAAGTAGATAAGATAATAAGCAGGACATTTGAAATATTTTATTAAATTACAGTAACAGAATCAGTAGAAAAATTCAGAGCAAAAGAAACATGACAAAAAACTCTGGTTATAGCAGTTAAGCCCAGCCATATATAGGGAGCTTTGTTGTGATTGATTTGAGATTTTAGAGACCCTGACAATTCTTCATGAGGCTATCATTAGAGTGCAGGGCTCTGCCTTTTGAGCTGAGGTTTTGGTTCAGGAAAGCCTATTTCAGAAAACCACTAAGAATCCACTTTCTTTGGGAGAATTCACCTATTAACACACCTTCCTCAGTTTACACAGTTTCAATTACTGGATGGGCCTGAGGAAATGAAGACTGTACATGGAATAAGTCCTGAGGCTATTTGGCTTCTTGGAGACTAAGAGATTCAAACCTGATAATGGTAAAGACATATTTGAATGTTGCTTTGCATTTTTCACAGTCTTTTGCTAACAGCTCTTCAAACTCCTTTCAATTACGATATTGAAATGGTTTGTTTAATCCTGTGTTTTATCATAGATGCTAATATAAACTGTGAATTCTAATTCCCTATTTAATTGTAATACAAAAATCTTTTCCCTTTTCCAAGTTATATGGTAATTATATTTTCTAGTTTGAGAAGCACAGAACTAATGTGCTCTCGTTTGACTTTGTGCACTTTATTTGTTTAAAAAATTTTAAGTTTATTTATTTATTTTGAGACAGCACGTGAGCGGGGTTGGGGCAGAGAGAGAGGGGAGAGAGAGAGTCCTAAGCAGGCTCTGCACTGCCAGCACAGAGCCCAGTGCGGGACTTGAACTCCCCAACTGTGTGATCATGACTTGATTCAAAATCAAGAGTCAGCCACTCAACCGACTGAGCCACCCAGGCACCTCTGACTTTGTGCACTTTAAAGAAAATAGTCACAAATTCTAACTTGGTCACCATTTACACAAGTACATATTTTTTTAGAGGATTTGAAAGACTAACAAAATTCACACCAAATGGAAAGTGTTTGGCAATTAAGAGTGTACTATTTATTTATTTATTTATTAAAAATTTTTTTAATGTTTTCTTATTTATTTTTGAGAGAGAGGCAGAGCATGAACAGGGAAGCTCAGAGAGAGAGAGAGAGAGAGAGAGAGAGAGACAGAATCCAAAGCAGCTCCAGGCTCTGAGCTGTCAGCACAAAGTCCGCTGCGGGGCTTGAACTCATGAACTGCGAGATCATGACCTGAGCTGAAGTCAGATGCTTAACCGACTGAGCCACCCAGGCCCCCCAAGAGTATACTTTTTAAAAAGAAAAAGTATAGTTGGGATATTTATTATTTCATAATTCAATCTCAGAGAATAATACAGAGGTTGATTGGAAAACTTTGAGTGCTCAATCAATATAGAAGAATTGGTAGGGCCCAGATCAATAGCCACAGTCAATTTAAGCAGAATTATAGGATTATAATGGCAGTCTTCTTCTGGTATTCATTTTGTTTTCACTCTAGCTTCTGGCTGAGCTGTACAGTCACTTCATCATGAATTTTCTGGATTTAGGGAGGATCACAGTGGACTAAATGGCACAGCTGACTTGAAGCAGGACACAGCTACTTAAGTCACAGGCTCAGAGACACTAACCCTTCAGTGATATGACTAAAAGCCACCTAAATCAAATTTAGAACCTGTACTCCTAGTTTGGAACTCTTCAGGAAGACTATGTCTACTTATTACCTGGATATTTTTGCAAAGTTGACCTTTCCTGATTTAAATATATACTTTATCTACATCCTAAGCAATGATACCTGTAAAATCACAGGTCTTGTGTGCCAGTTGTGGTCTTTTTCTAGTTTAAAGTAAATACAAAACAATTTTTTTTTAAATAATTTGACCATCTGTAACCTAAAATCATCTTGCATACCTCATTGGCACACTGAGAAACACTGGCCAAACAGGGTTGCTGAAGGTGAACAGACTGGAATGCAAACACCAGCTTCTCCACTTTCTCCTTAGATAACCTTGGCAGCTTTCTGGACCTCTCTAAACCTGTTTCTTCATATGTAAAAGGTTGGGTTATACAGGTACACTCCAAGGTTGCACAAACACCTGGTTTCCAGGCTCGGCCCAGGGAATGAGTCACAGCTGTTCTCTCATAGTGACCCTGCAGACTTACAGGGGGCCTGGGCACCCCTGTTGAGGTCTAAGGCACTGCCTCACCACTGGGAATGCTGGCTGGGGTGTCTGCATGAGTCAGAGGGCATTGCAGAGTCGCCAGGCTCCGGGGACCACAGAGTGTGCTGTCAATCACCACGGGGGCCCATTAGCAAAAACCAAAAAAACACAGGTGGGGCTTGCTCTAGCTGCAGTCTCAGATAACAGGGCTCAAAGAGAAATGTGTTCTTCCAAGCAGCTGAAGGCATACTCGTGAGATGATAAGCTTGTATGCTAAAAGCAGAAATGCAAACTGCCTGTGCAGATTCAGTGGGGAAGCAAGGGTAGATTTGGACCCAGTCACAAAGCAGCACTAGCATTACTAGTAACAGCACCAATAGCACTGTCTCCCTCAAAATGACGAGTCCAGGGGTCACTGGGCCCAGTTTGCCCTGCACCATCCTGGTTTATACTAGTTCTCTCAGAGTAAGTGTTGTAGTGCTCCTTTTAATCTCAAGTGTTCCAGTTTAGGTGAGAAATCAGACGATTTCCCTACTGATGACCCAGAGAAAGGAGTTGATCCGCCCAAAGTCACACAGTGACCAAGAAGGAAGTAGAAGTTGCTTCTCTCAACTCCAGACAATGTGGCCTAGTAGCCAAGGATATAGGCTCTGTCTAGACAACAAGCCTCCAAGAGCTGGATTGTAACCTCTTTCACACTTCATCCTGGATCCCAGCACTGCACCTGCCTTCTTGACACAGGCAGGAAGTCTCTTATTGAAATTCTGTCTCTCCTGGAGGACAAAGAGTTCTCCCAGGTCACGTGCTGAATGTCTGCTATGTGCCAGGCACAATGCTGAGTGTTCCACAAATCAACATATGCTTTGTGATCCTCAACACAAATCCTGTGAAGTGTAATAATACACCTGTTTCAGAGGGAGCCCCCAAAGGGAGCTGTCAGAGACCCAACCAAACATTCCTGTCCGAGACAGGGCCAGAGATCTCAGCCCATGAGGGAAGCTGTGGTCCTTGGTTCCCTCTTGGGCATCCATGCTACAGGAATCCATGAGGCACCAGCCAAAGCCTTTTGTAAAACCACAGTTAGCACCCAGAAATGTGCTGGCTGTGTATAATTCCAGAGAAAGCTTCCACCAGTATTATTCCCCAGGTGGTTGAGTATCATTGTAAATCCATCCGGCTCAGAAAATCCTTGAATGAAGCTCCATGCAACTGACAGGTGCAATCGTCATGAGGGCCCCTTTTCAATCCCCTTCTGATCAAAAGATCAGGCCTGGGGCTGGAG